CTTTGGCCAACAGGGCTGAAATCACCTTTAAAAACTGAAGCTCTTGGTGTGGATGTAGAGAGAAGGGAGACCTTGGGCACAGTTGGTGGGATTGTAAGTTGGTGCAGCCAGGATGGAAAACAGTATGGAGCTTCCTCAAAAAATTAAAAATAGAACTGTCATATGATCCAGCAATTCTACTTCTGTTTTTTTTTTTTTTATTGTAGCTATATGAGATAACGGATGTTAACTAAACCTATTGTGGTAATCATTTCAGAGTATATGTGAATCAAGCCATCATGCTATATAACTTAAACTTCTAGAGTGATGTATGTCAATTATTTCTCAATAAACCTAGAGGGAATTCCCTGGCGGTCCAGAGGTTAAAGACTCCGAGCTCCCAATGCCGGGGACTCAGGTTCGATCCCTGGTCAGGGAACTAGATCTCGCATGCTGCAACTAAAGGAGCCCACATGGGGCAACGAAGATCCCGCATGCCGCAACTAAGACCTGGCGCAGCCAAATAAATTAAATAAATAAATAAATATTTTAAAAAAACAGTACCTACCTCATAAAGATTAGATGTGATTTAATATGTATATATAAAGGGCTCAGAACAGTTCCTAGAGCACACTGAAGAGCCACATAAATGCTTGCTACCATCATCATTCTTCTTATTATCATTATTATTAGTTCAGGTAGCAAAAGCGGCGTGTGCAGAGACATGGTGGTGGGAGGCAGTGTGATGTGATGGGGAACTGGATGGTGGTAGTGGTGATGCCCATGAGGAATCAGGACAGCCAGGGACCATATCAGGACCTGAAATCATGTCACATATTGGATTTCTCAATTCTTTATGATCTATTTCTGCCTACTAAGATGCAAGCTCCAGGAAGACCCCCATGAGGCATTTGTGTGATAAATCACTGTATCCCAAGCATTTAGAATAGTCACTGGCAACATTGTCAGTGCTCAATAAATATTAATTGAACTAATGATGGGTTAAGGATTTTGAACTTTGTCCTGCACACTACGGCGAGTCAGTGAAGCAGGTAGTACTAGATTAGAGACTGAGAAGCAAGTCATCAGTTTCTTCCAGTAAGCGATAGTAAGGGCTGAGGTAGTCATCCCCTTGCAGATGAAAGTAGGAGACTTGGGATTGGAATGAGAATGGGGAGTGGCATTCAGGAGGTGGTGCCATTTATGGGGATGGAGAAAAAGGAAAGGAGCAGATTTAGGGAGAGATGAGAATCTCTGTTTGGGACATGTTCTAGATTTGTGGGTCTGAAGTTCAGCAGAGAGGCTGGGGCTAGAGAGAGAGTCTTGGGAGTCACTGGGGTGTCAGGGGCAACAGAGGTCGAGAGTCTGGATGGTGACCAACATGTCACCACATCTTGCTCGCTGTTCATGACCCTCCAGGAAGTTTGTCTCCCGGCAAGACTGAATGTTCTTTGAGGACAGGAATACTTCCCATTGTAGCCTTCAGTATACAGCGTGCATCTCCGTGCTAGGAAAATGGTCAGGAACAGAACTTCTAGAGCAGAAAAGAATCTTAAAAATCATATTAACATGAGAGAATGAGGCCCAACATTGTTCAACCACTTGCCTGTGGTCACTCAGCAAAACAGCCACAGCTCTGGCTGCAGGACCAGGTCTTAAGACTGCCAGCCTTGTGCCCTTTCCAGGAGGCCACATTGCCTCAGGGCGGTGAGTAGAGAGCACCCAGGTGAGTGAAGGAGCTTGGGCTTTGGGCTGATCTAGCTTCCTGGAGCCTCAGTTTCATCATCATCAGGATTGTTAGGGGTTGATTGGGTCCGAGTCTCTTGTGAAGCAATGAACATAGTGCCGGGCACCCTGTCGGTGCTCAATAAATGTTTATTTACCATTCATTTCCCTCACGAAGATAGGGGGTTTGGAACAACGCGGTCAGGTTGGAGCTGTGACCTGAAAGGCTGAAGGCTGAGCAGCACGATCTTGGACATCAAATCAGCGCTCAGCCATCAGTTAAGAGCCACCGAATAAATACATGTATATGTAGAACTGAATCCCTTTGGGGTACACGTGAAATTAACATATTGGTAATCAACTATACTCCAATAGAAAATAAAAGGTTAAAAAACAAAAGAGCCACCGCTTTCCTCTAGGAGGTTTAAAGGTGCTACTAGCTCAGGCCACCTCGGCCGCGTGTGGGCGTGGTCAGTGTCCCCTCCCCCCTCCTCTCACTCTCCTTTCTAGGCTCCGCCCTGCTGGCTGGCTCGTCGACGCTCCAGCCCCAGGAAGAGCTGTTTCCTTCCTGGCTACAGTGTTTGAGGGTTAGGTGCTGCCAGAGAAATAACCAAGGAGGAGGCGTCTGTGTTTAGAAGGTAAGGTGGGCAGAAGGAGGAGAGCTGGATAAACTTGAGAAGTTGTTTTCTTTGAACGATTCCCTGGGCTTTGGGGACTGGAGGTGACAGTGGGTGTAGGACTGGAAAGAGGACACAGAGCCAGCTGGCCAGCCCCAGGGGGCCCTTTGGGCCTGAGCGCACGTGAGATTCCCAGGGTTCTGTCACAATCCACACATTATTTATGCCAGTCATCTGAGTTTATCAGGCACATCTTGTCATGTGGAGAAAATGAAACTGAAAGCAGGACTCTTCCCTTGCAGCGTTTTTGACGGGTTCTTTTCATTTTCTACTCTGATATTTTACTTGGGATTTCTTTTATTATTATCATTATCGTCGTTTTTATTTGCATTTCCTCAAAAGGAGTCCAAGATGTGGTATTCTTAAACGATTGTATTACACTGAAGTTAGCAGTTGGAAGTGGGCTGGAATAAATAAAAGACCAGAGGAGGAAAGAAGTTCGAAGAAACACGGAGTCTTCTAGGTTTCTTCGAGCTTCTTTCCTTCTCTGGTCCTTTATTCCAGACCACCTCACACTCACTGTCACCGGGAGTGTTTACACAAACATTGGGTCCAGAGAGTTCATTACCAGATGATTGTGCTTCCGCTGCTCATTTGATTAGACCTCTGAGCTAGGGGCTTTGACACTGTCGGAGGGGTGAGATTGCTGAAAAATGGTTGCTCTGTGAATTTTGCAGCAGACGTAGTTATGTAAATATTCAGGTAACAGATTGCTGCCATCTGCTATTTGAATTGGGTCTAAATTGCTCAGAGCTGATCAAGGGCAGTTGGATTAAACTGACACCCCAGGTTCCCTATTTGTGTAGTGTGTATATGCACATGGGTGGGGAGACTGGGATTTGTTAACTTTTGTTTTCATAAATGGACGGAATTAGCTCTACCATTTATTGAAGGCTTAATATTTCCCCTCTCCCTACTTCAATGCACTTTATATGGGGGACTGTATTTATTGTTGCCCCCATTTGAGGGAACAGAAAATTGAGACTCAATAATCTAAGGTTACACGATTAGGAAGTAAGAGTCTAGAATTACACGACCAGGGGCTCAAACTTAGATCTTGCTGAGCTGAGAGTCCGAGTTCTTAACCATACTCTACAATAGTTTGAATAGGACTCTGCACACGTGCAAAGAACCAGGAATGTGCCGAGCGTGTTCAACCAGAAACACAAACTGATGAAAAACACATATTTTCTTATTAAATGAGGGTTCTGGTTTTTTTAAAAGGCCATCTGTTTCTAGTAAGAGTATGTTTATAAGGCGTTGGAAAAAAAATGTATTAATATAGGTTGAGAATCCTAAAAACAATCATAGCCTTTGACTCGGCA